GGTCAGAAGTGTTGTATATTCAAGGGTATTCAGACATGGTTAAATGCTTGTAAAACGTTGTGCAACGAGTGAATAAATTTATATATGAAGGGCTATAGTATAAAACATGTGGGCAACATTCTTTTTGCCCTGGTCGAAAATAAAAAAGAGCTAGGGTGGTATGGTAAAGTTGTTTGGAGGTATTAATTCAAAGAACGAAAGGGAGGGGGGCCGATGTGCATACTTTAAATACCATCTTAATTAGTTGTAATAAATACGTATTAATTAGTTGCTTCTTTTAGTTCCTATCTTTTTGAATGGCATGACACTTGTCATAGCCACCGGTGTGTGTAGACCCCTTCCCTGCTCTACGGTGTAACACATGTAATGATCCAGCTAAAAAGAGCTTTTCAGTTTTCTGTATGCTAATACATCCATTCTCCTTTGCGTGTTGCATTTACTTTGTGCCAGGTGATGCCTCCTTTTCTTATCTTCTTCCTTCATGCTACTCCAACGAAATAAAGACATTAAGGGTAAGCTTTCCTGCACCGATTTTTGTCCTCTACACTTCACCAAGTAACCTTGAACCGGATATATACTTCCAGCTGGTGCATGTAATTTCCCCTTTTGTCATCCTCTGGTGCGCATGGATTGCATGCTACTCGGTTCTACGCTGGTCTCTTCCAGAAACAAAACTCCACCGTCCATCTCCGCATTAGTTCCTATGAGCTGTGCATTGCGTATACTTATCCCTTCATGCTTTAATTTGCTTCCGTTCAATCTTCTACTCGTGCTTGTGTGCTGTCTAGTGTATAAAAACAAATACGGTTTTTTCCCCTTCATGCTTTAATTTGCTTCCGTTCAATCTTCTACTTGCGCCTGTGTGCTGTCTAGTGTATAAAAACAAATACGGATCCTTGCGGGACCTTGTTATGGACATGGGATGATTATCAGTGCTGGTTAATTAGATGGTCGACTGTTCACTCGTTGCCTAGGCTTCGGCCACTAATCCTTCCTTATGTAATTATGAAGGGCTTTAGTCTTGCCAGCGAGCCTACTACTCCTTCAAGTTTGGTTGTTTTTGTCAATGTGCTAAAAAGGGATGTTTGGTCAATGGAGTTTACATCAAATATTTCAATAGTAATGTGCTATATTTTTATTTTATATATGTCAGGTTCATATTATATTAGTGCGTGACATATTTTTTTCATGTGGCGCATCAAAATATCACGTGGTTGGCAGAATAATGTCCACAGTTATACTGCGGCCTAATAATCTGGGAATATTAGCACCTCTGATGATAGCAAGAATTTAGTCAACATTATAAACCCCCCGTTGGTGATTGCGGACGTGCATGCAAGCGTGTGTCTCATGATTCTTATTTTGTTAGGACAAAGATTTTATTTATTTAAGTATTTGATATGAATTTATAAATGTTGGCTCATATTCATATTCGAAGCCAAACCGATACCAACAATTATATATCAATGTTATGCTCATTTCCTTCCCTGTATTTTAGTGCCAGCTATTCATACCGAGCATCTGATATTAAACATGATTATTTAGATCATCTTTGGTTATTTGGCATTACAATAAAATTTTAGCCATTTGAATTATTTTATTATTTTTATATTGCTTATTGCAAAATATTCTATTTTGGTCAAAATGGAGTCAACGCTTGGGAACCCGGCAACACTTGTGAGCTTCACATACTTGTTAGGCTAGAAGTGCCCACTTTGGTCTTTCTGTCGGAGATAACGATCGAGAGGGAAAGAGTGAGCAATTTAGCATCAAGGCTTTGTTTTGAAGGGTGCTATCATGTCAGTAGTGATGGGTTGAGTGGGGGCTTGGCTCTGTTTTAGTCCAAAGAGGTGCATGTCACACCAACTACGTTTTCAGGCCAGCACATTGAGGTCAAAGATAAGAGCATTAGAGGAGATGAGGTGCACTAGATTTTATGCGAAAGCAACAAGAAGCGGGTGAGCTAGCAGCTAGGAGCTAAGACCACCGCGAGTGGAAGATGGAGGGATTTAGGGAATGCATGGCGTTATGTGAATCGCAAGATCTAGGTTTCAATGTGTTCCTTTCACTTGTGATAACATGCAGCAAGGGAATGCAAATGTCAAGTTTCAACTTGATTGGTTTTGCAAATCAGCATATGAGTTTGTTGGGGAACACATAGCTTAAGCTAGGGAAAGTCAAAAAATTCAATGGTGCTCATCCTAGGAACCCTGCAATTAATCGACCATAGAACCATATGAATTACCACTCGACGAGCAGTGCAACAGAAGATTGTTGATGTTGCGTCTCATTGCCGTCGTAGTCGTGCTACCCCTCATCAGTATCCCGCGT